ACTGGAACTTGAGGAAGATTTATTTGCCAAGCTCATGTTTCTATATCGCTCACCACAGACGCTGATAAAATGGACGAAATACAAGAGGCAATAGTAGAAAATTAGCTGAACAGGTAATCGCAGATGGGTTACGCTATCTAAATGTTTTTTCTAGCCTAAAGTAGGGATGCATATGATCTCTTTTTATCCTTGAAAGGACATAAACAAAGCTTAAAATAATTTTCCTTCTTGAAAGGAAATATTTTCAGCTTCGTTAAAAAAGAATGTGATGTGGCTCAGTCACACGTTCACAAGATTTTATTCATCTGCTACTGAAATGATGGTGTTTAATACAACTGTTTATTAGTTAGATATTGAGCAATCGCTTTTAGGGCAGTTACATATATGTCGTTGAAACGAAATGATGCTCCATTACGGTTTTGATTTCATTTTACCTGCCAAATGTGCTTGGCCATTGGAAACGTCCTTTATTTGCTGCGTTACTTCAAAATTCTAAGGCCGAGATTTTTTTCCTCCGTTTTTTGAAAAAGTCCGTATCCTTATCCACACGTTGCGTTTTTTAATCGTTTTTGCCCGTCCACGCGAAAACGGAATGTTGACAGAAAACGCTACCATCACTTATGCACATTTACTGGTATCAAACATCGTGACCAAAATGGATACATGTGGATGGGGCTTGAAATAAGGAAGACAGATCCATACCCTTACCTTCGAATGTCGAAAATTTATTTGGACCTTTTGAAAATGCCTTAACTTTGCCTTGGATCTTACAGACAGAGCTAGATTATCAGTTTCTTAACAGATGCAAACCGGCAAAGTTAGATCTAAAAGGTATTATATGGTTAATTTTCTTTAAACATAAATTATGGATTTATATAAATTAGACCAGGAGAATAAAATTATTATTGCTACATGTTGTAGCAATAATTTATTACTACTTTATTCTTTGTTACGCAAAGTGCATTTTGCAAAGATTTTATTGGATAAGATTATTTATGATAGATAAGCCACTACTCAGTTTATAATATTTTTCCATGAGAATAAAATACAATAATAATATACCCTCGGTATAGTCTTGGAAAACTTCGTCAGTGTTGAAAAAAACTTGTTATAGCATAATAAGCAAATCACTGAAAATGAATAGAAAATCACAATTTCGCTTTTTACGTAGAATCAATTCCGTCAATGAGGACTGATGGTAGGGGAGTAGAATACAGACGTTGAATCAGGTAGATTTTTAAAATATCAGCTTATTTATTTTTTTACCCTTACCTTCGAATGTCGAAAATTTATTTGGACCTTTTGAAAATGCCTTAACTTTGCCTTGGATCTTACAGACAGAGCTAGATTATCAGTTTCTTAACAGATGCAAACCGGCAAACTTAGATCTAAAAGGTATGGTTAATTTTCTATAAATTATGGATTTATATAAATTAGACCAGGAGAATAAAACTATTATTGCTACATAAGCTTTATTCTTTGTTACGCAAAGTGCATTTTGCAAAGATTTTATTGGATAAGATTATTTATGATAGATAAGCCACTACTCAGTTTATAATATTTTTCCATGGGAATAAAATACAATAATAATATACCCTCGGTATAGTCTTGGGAAAACTTCGTCAGTCTTGAAAAAAACTTGTTATAGCATAATAAGCAAATCACTGAAAATGAATAGAAAATCACAATTTTGCTTTTTACGTAGAATCAATTCCGTCAATGAGGACTGATGGTAGGGGAGTAGAATACAGACGTTGAATCAGGTAGATTTTTAAAATATCAGCTTATTTATTTTTTGGAAAATTATTCTCGAAGAAATTAATATTTATCGTGGTAGCAGGTTATTGTTGGTTGTCGAGCTTTAGTAATTCTCCCAGATATCCCAACATGAATCGTTTGCGCTAACACTGGCGAAGTTTTCGTTTTTGTTTTTTTTTTTTCTGCAAACTCTATCTATATTTTCAAAAATGTAAGCAGGTGGTCTTCTCTTCTGGATTCTACCGAGAACAGTTCTTGAGATTTGAAAAAAAGTCTAGTTCCGGGAACATACAGCTGTATCAATGATTGCATTCTCATTGTTTTGATGAACTTGCAAGATTGCTCGCTATATTTTGTTAATACAGGTTGTTGTAATCTTAGATCGCTCTTTATCTGTTTGAGGACGACAGGACATTGGATACAAAAGCGGTTGTTCTGAAGCCCATTTTATATTGTGACACGTGTTGCAGAGTATATTCAATGCTTTGCCCTCAAACGGATGCTATTCGCCACTACAAAACATACATTTTTGTAAGCTGTAATAATAAGTTTATTTAGTTTATGGATAAATTACTTACTTCATGTAATTTATATATGCAGTTGGAGAAGTCTATTTTTATACCTAGTGCCAGTATTCTAGCTAAAATACAATGCGCAGTTGTTACAATGAAAAGTGAAAATACTATTGTGAGGATCTATTTTAAATGGGTATTTTTTTGAATTATAAAAAGCTTCTGATGAACTCAGAACTGACCTCTTTGGCGGATGTGTGAATACAGTGGTAATCCGAGAAAGGATAGATAATTCTACGTTGTTAAGATGGCTCGATAGGGTTTTTCAGGGTCAGTACCTCCCAAGTCATTGAGCATAAACTACGTCGCTATGAACAAAAATTTGGAAAGATAAGGGATAACATTTACATTCCACAGCTGTATATTGGATAAAGATCGGAGCTGTAAAACAGGTAATGGCGTCATTTCGTTTATATGACAAATCCGATGTCGTTGTAATCCTGATCATAATTTTTTAGTTTATCTAATACAGTTGTGGTGGGTAATTTTTCCAAATCTTTCTCAATTGGCAACGTAGTTTATGCTTAAACTTGGGAGGTCTTGTTCCTGAAAAACCCCTTTCGAGCCACCGTAAAGAGACTCTGTCACTGTAGTGTGTTTAAGGGGGCAGTCTCTCTCCTTCTCTCTCTCTCTGTCTGTTCTAGGGGAAATGGGGTTTATTTGGGAATGAAATAAAAAAAGGGTTGTAAAAGGTATAAAGATCATTGCAACCAATTAGTCCGCTAACGAACTCAGAGGCACTTTGTTGTGGTGATGGACTATCTGATACACTTGTATTGGCCAACTGATTATTCCCTTCATATTTCAATTTTCAACAACCCAATATTTTCCAGTTTTCCAAAATTTTAAACACTCCCCCTCTTTTTACATTAAAAGAATCGCCCAAAAATTCTCAAACATGTATTGAAACAATAGAGAGATTAAGCCTCGCGTTTACGCCAAACTTGAGATTCAAATTTAGAAATTTTAAAAAGAGTGATGAGCAAAAAAAAAAAAAAACAGCATAAAACATTTCTTATATAAATTGGCTTGAATCTACCGATTTTCGTGTAGTTATAATGAACAGTAAACGACAAGTGGATGGAAAACTTGGTCACGTGGTACAAATTTACGTTTGCCTTTTGCCGTAATCGTAATAATACAGTTTTATCCTATAATGAGTAATCTTGTTACTATGGAGTTGCATAGACGACTGCATGGTCAACCAATGAAGCGAAACCAATTTTATCTTGCGTACACCTCTTAGCTAGATAAAGTCAAACCACACTTTATGGACACCCAATTACTACGGACAGTCTGCTTTCTCCGTGGGTAAAGAAAGCGCTTACTTTTTTCCCAAAATACAACCCGCTTAATACGGACACCCCGTGAATACGGCAACTTTTTATGGCCCCCTCATCCTCATCGGGGTTTGACTGTAGTAAGATCCTTTTGGAATCCGGAATCGGGGAAAATTTTGCTTATGGAATCCGGAATCCTGGACTTTGGATTCCGGAATACAGCTCAAGGAATTAGGAATCCTACTAAGGATTGGAATCCAGAATCCAAGTTCCACTAAAAAAAAAATCGGAATCAAGTGCCTGGAATCCGGAATCCAAGGCGTAGAATCCAGAATCCAAGACCCTCTTGGATTCCATTGGATTAATTCCCTTACATGGGGCAAATGATATTTGAACATCCTTTTAATACTCACCTTGATGTTTGTCAAAAAGACGGTCAACAGAAATGCCAATTGGCTGCTCTTAAGCCCGCCTAAACTCCACTTGTATGATTTGGCTCTTGATGCTTGGTTGTCTAAGAATTGCAAAACTTCTTTTTCATATTTAAAAATTGAAGAATCTAATTACGATCATGAAGATTTAAAAGTCTTCATGTCTGTTACTTTCAATGACCTGGTAACCACTCTGAAAGATCATCACGGTTATGTACGCAATTCAAGCCTTGTGAAAAGACAACCTTTTATTTATTTATTTTTAGGCTTTCTTTTCGCAGCTGCTTTTAAGTTGCGAGGATCTTTTGTTTGTCAAATATTTTCCCCCGCAGTTCAAATAATGTATAGCGCGTTCACTGTTCGTTAACCTATAACCCAAAAAAGTACCAAGCGTATCAAAATATAGGCAAAGGCAAAGGCAGCTAAAACTGTTCTTTTAATGAAAAATCTTTCTTCTTTCTAGCACTCTAGTGTCTAAGACCTTTTGAAATAGAAGTTATAAATATTGTTGCACAAGGTTTACATTACAGTATTTAACACATTCTTCTTTCACCGGTGAGAGAGCGACCACGTGTAGCTAATGAATTAAGACAAAATTCTGTATTGATTATAATGAGCATCTAATCTCTGACAACCAAGGGACCTGTGAAAAAAAATCAAAAATAAAAAGGGTGAGAAGGTTCAGAAATAAAACAAAACCAGAGAGTATTGTACAATGGGGTGAATATTACGCGCGCTGTGATTGGTCGGTATCCACAAACTATCAGATAACAGACACATGGATGACGTCAAGGGAAACTTTTTCTCTGTTTTGTTCAACTTGTCCGCTCCAGGTTATTTATTTTTTTGTTTAATTGGCGTAATATATTCTGACAACACTGGAAATAGGTTTAGTGGTAATGAAAAAAAAGCGAGTTAGCATCTAAGTAATTAAAAAATGATTACCTTTCTCCAATAATTTACAGTTTGGAAGTTGAAGCAGAGAAGGATACGTATTTCCTAACATGCGAGTCTCGAACTGAATGGTATACCGTTTGTCCGTTGGTTATTTTGTAGTTCCCAACCTCTCCAGAGTCATGATTCATGTCATCCAGCGTCAGCTCATCCGGGGAATCAGTGCGGATGGAGTGACGGTACACCTCAATATCCGGGATATTTTTACTTTTTGCGCAGCTCCTACAGGAAATGCACCAAACGTAGTTGCGGCCCGAACGCTTGAGGAAAACGAATATTATCACCCAAATGAGCAAAATGAAGGCGAGCACAGTAGAAGTGATCAAGATTATAAACCTGGCATCGTACTCTATCCCTCCCTTGACGTGAGTGACGTAAGAAACGCTTCCATTGGTAATCACCACCACTCTAGGAGGCCCGGGTCGAGCCGTTGTCACGGGAGGAAGCGTGACAGTCTCGCCTTGAGTCGTGATGCTCGAATGGACCGTCACACCACTCTTACCTGTAGTAATGGAAGAATGAACTGTCACGCCATCATTCTTGGCTTCATGACTAATCACTGATGTCACCAGAGTTGAGTTTTTATCGGTTGCGATAGTAGTCGTCAAGGTCACGTGGTGTTTGGCAAGTTCAGTATTTGTAAATTTACCTGTAGTTGTTGTGAACGTGGCAATGGATGTTTCCTTTGCTCGAGGATTCGTGACTGCGCGCTGTGGGGAAGTGATGGGCACGCTTGTCGCTGTAGTGCTATCGACTGTGGGAGGTGGATTGACTAACTTGCATACAGAGGAGACAAAGCTGGCTCTGGTCACCTGACCAGAGGTCTGATCTGAGGAACCGAAGCATTCTAATGGTCCGAGAGTGAAAAAGGAGTTCGCGGCGTCTTCGGAAAACTGTATCATAGTCACTGGTAATAATGATTTATCTGTTAAATACCCTGTGAACAAGATACATATAACACTTGTCATTCGAATTATTAAGTTGGTGAGAAAATGTAAGAATGACTACAGGGCTGGGGGGTTAAGTAATTAATAGAAAATCCTCAATGGCGCCGTATCGTCTAACTATCACCACAAAGAAAGAAGCATCTACACTTACTGTACAGCTCTGCGTGAGATTCACGCGGTTAGAGTGGTTTGTACACCCTGAAATCATCTTTTCACTCATTTTATGGGGGATTTGCCGTACGACAAGAGTAGACTCTGAACAATATAGTTCTATATTTTCTGCCGTGAAGGTAACCGAAGGAACGAGACAAAGTGTATTTGACGCGGACAGATTGCAAATTGAGTCGCAAAGTTTTAGTGAATTCCGATGACACCAAATCTCTGAATGCGCGATATCTTTGTCGCTTTGTAACCACTGTGGCGCTCGTCAGAAAAAATCACCGAAAGTAAATACCCGTCTTTCTACCCATCCCTGCGAAATTTTTTGGGCGCTAAGGAGCTCGTTTTAAATATGTAGTGCTCAGGTTGCGGTTATAACTCACCATAATCTTCTCGTGGTCCATTTTTCCTATCTGCGTCACAGTTGCAGTACCTAGAAGGGTCATCACAAGAATTGCTCTTTCCGCATGCGCATTTTCCACTTCCAGATGGCGCGCCTCCCCAGTTGTTTTGTAAGCTACCGTTCCATGACTTCCACTGCACATGCTCAGGACCCCGCGGCGAATTGAGAAGTTTGGAATTCTGACACTGAAAGCTAATAAACTGTCGGCAGCTCACACTGCGCTTGATTAGCGCAAGCACACTTTTCATGTTGCTTTGATAAGTAATAAATTGAAAATGATGACCCGGTAGGCTTAAAGCGCCTAAAGTTACGGCACGTTTACCCTCCTTGTCGTGTTTTATTACCGTCATGGCTTGTTCGGAAGTCGTCATATTGCATAACACATCCAAGGCTCCTAAAGGTCCAGTTCCGTCAGGGTCCACTTTACAGTACGCATCCTGGGTCATACCCAGTTCCTTGTATCCTTGGCAGGTAGCGCTGTAGAGCGGAACTTCACAACGTTCTCCTTCATAAAATGTTCCTTTACAATTGCACTTGAAAGATTTCCACGTTTGCGAACACTTGCCTTGGTTTTTACAGGGACTAGGAAAGCACTTTGAAGACGTGCGGCACTCATTGTCTACCGCACCGTTCTTTTGAGAATCTTTCAAGGTGTTCCATATCACAGGACTGCCATTAATGGTAATCCGGTTCATACATCCAACGAAGCCCGTTTTTTGCGTCCCAAAACCGATAAAAACGCCACTTCTAAAATCACCGATATTCGACAACTCAGGATTTTCATGGCGTACCTCTGCGTTTTTATCCAGTTGAAACCATATTTCTTTGCTTGTTACTCCAGCGATGACCGTGTGCCATTTTCCGTCGTTCAAGGTTTCATCAACGCAGTTAATTCTAATTGCTGGATTACTTCCCATTTGAATTTGTAGTTCCAGATTTCCCGAAATAAGCATGAGGTACATCTTGGAGACCCTGTTTGATTTATAAACTAAAACGCCATCGCCTTCATAGGTACGAAAACTTAGATCAACTTTGAAGCTTTTTGGGGAACGACTTGTAACTTTCAAGTAACTATCTGGCGATGGGAAATTTACAGGAGCATATTCGACAGAGGAACAATTAAATCGTACATCGCCATGCTTGTTGTTATCAGACTGGTCCACCTTAACGCTGTGGAAAATATCCTTATGATTGAAGAACAAATTTTTCATACAGCCATTAAAATTCGGTGTAGTTAAAGAGTCATCGTAATCCGAGGCAGTCTCCTCCAGGCCCCCAACATATAAGGTGGTATCAAGGTCAAGGCGCACATTGTCACCTGGTACCGTTGTTTGACGTTTGAGTTTGTCAATTGCAAGATCCACAGTTTTTTGGTTTCGATGGACTTTGATTTCGTGCCATTTGTTGTCCGAGAGGTTGTCTCCGAGAATGACAGAAATGCGTTTTGTGCTGCCAAGGTCCATGGTGAGTCTAAGGNTGGCGATGGGAAATTTACAGGAGCATATTCGACAGAGGAACAATTAAATCGTACATCGCCATGCTTGTTGTTATCAGACTGGTCCACCTTAACGCTGTGGAAAATATCCTTATGATTGAAGAACAAATTTTTCATACAGCCATTAAAATTCGGTGTAGTTAAAGAGTCATCGTAATCCGAGGCAGTCTCCTCCAGGCCCCCAACATATAAGGTGGTATCAAGGTCAAGGCGCACATTGTCACCTGGTACCGTTGTTTGACGTTTGAGTTTGTCAATTGCAAGATCCACAGTTTTTTGGTTTCGATGGACTTTGATTTCGTGCCATTTGTTGTCCGAGAGGTTGTCTCCGAGAATGACAGAAATGCGTTTTGTGCTGCCAAGGTCCATGGTGAGTCTAAGGAGGTAAAGAGAGAAGTCACGGTATAAGTAGCCTGCAAGCAAGTTCTTCATTTGGGCGCCCCTTACTCTCGTGTCTTCTCTCACGCTTGCGGCACGCTTGCCTGCGTAAGCGTGCCACTTGCGCGTGTGCGTGACTTTTCACGATATCCCTCAAATGGGGAGCTTGCTCGCAGGATATGCTACTAGTGACAAACAAACACAACGCGCAGTATTTCATCTAACATCCAGACACACAGAATCGGTCTGAAAAATAAGCACGCAAAAAAACCTCAACGTGAAATTTATATGGAATACTTCATGGAAAGTGCGCACGTACGGCATTTATGCACCAGCTGTTGATGTATCAGAAATCGAGCCCAGCAAACGAATGAGCACGACGAACGAGTGAGATTCAAAAACAACGAGTGCGTAAAAAACGTTAAAAGCACTTTCCATGTGGTATTTTGTACATACTGAGACATGCATCAATCTGCCAGCCTTTCATTTCAGATCTTTCCAAAATGCCAAGCTCAATACGTCTCGTTCTCTTTTCCCCCCTTCCGCTCTTGCTGTTGTCTTTTTTTATTTGGTACTCTACAATTTTCTTCATCGACAGTGAAATATACCAAACCTTCTACTACAATTTCCGAGATGTTTTTCGCTTTGAAAATACTCTACTGTATAGTCTCAGCACTCAAAGCAAGCTGCAAGAGGCGGAAATGGTGGCGCGAGACTAGCACATCTCTGAGTCTTTTGATTGGACGTATCATTTTCCTCACACATGAAAAAACATCGTTCGCAATTCTGATTGGACGTATATTTTTTGTCGAATATGGAAATATCGCTCGCTCCTCAGATTGGCTAGATCTCATTTGTGTATGAAAAATTACGAGAAAGCTTTTCAGTGAGTATATCTCTTTATGTACCATAAAATGAAGGAAAAAAAACTACAGGCAAAAAAAAAAATAAGCACTTGCCATTTGGTATTTTGTAAAAACTAAAACAACACAACAACACACAACATTTTATTTCAAAAATATAAAAAAATCCAAATCCAAATCGTTTCTTTCTCTTCCCCCCCCCCCCCTTCCGCTTTTGCTGTTGTCTTTTTTTTTTTTGGTACTCTACAATTTTCTTTATCGACAGTGAAATATACCAAACCTTCCACTACAATTTCCGAGATGTTTTTCCCTTTGAAAATACTCTACTGTATAGTCTCAGCACTCAAAGCAAGCTGCAAGAGGCGGGAATGGTGGTGCGAGACTAGCACACCTCTGAGTCTCTTGATTGGACGTATCATTTTCCTCACACATGAAAAAAACATCTTTCGCAATTCTGATTGGACGTATATTTTTTGTCGAATATGGAAATATCACTCGCTCCTCAGATTGGCTAGATTTCATTTGCGTATGAAAAATTACGACAAAGCTTTTCAGTGAGTATATCTCTTTATGTACTATAAAATGAAGGAAAAAAAACTGCAGGCAAAAAAAAAAACAGCACCCCAAAGATATTTTACAGTTTCGGAATAGGGTTTCTACTTTTGTGTTTTACTTTACCTATTGCCTGGTTTACTGCACATGGAAGGAAAACGAGTCCCACGCTACAGGCACGTATTTCAGACCCACTTCACTTTGTTTTTTAAAGCATTGTTTAGAATGTTTGATATAATTGTTTTTCTATGGCAAAGGTAGGTATTGTCTGGCGGCTTATGATTAGTGAGGTTTACAAAGTTTACATGAAAAGAAAGTTTCAGAATGAAGCTAGAATCTGACGATCGCCGTTATTCAGGCTTCTCAAATTATGCGATGAGGGGCTTAAATATTTAAAATAATTTTTTGGGTTTACCCGACGTAAAAACAGGAGTCAAAGGAAACATTGGTCGTTTTGGTGCAATTTGACGTTTTCTGATTGACGTAATCTGGTCTATACTTGATTTTAAATTTCTGTATATAAAACTGATATTAAAAAAGTTAGGCATACTATCCAAGAACCCTTTGCATTAACATTAAATGAAAGAGACCCCTCATGGCATGAAGTAAATGAGGATAGGCCTCAATTTTTTTAATGTTCGCTTTGCAACGTTTTCTCGCACCTAATTTAGGATTCACAAACCAGCGAAAATGAAGCTGGTACTGAGACGAGATGCACGATTGCTAGTTAAGTCCCTTCACTGGAGGTGATTTGTGGAAGGTATTTATTTTGGGTCTCTACAATTAGGAAGCTGAACACGAAAGCGTGAGCGAATGAATTTCTTTTCCCAGTTACCTACTTGTATCCGGTGTAATACACGGCGCATGTAAAAAAAGGGAGGCCAGTGAGACGAGAATGTCTTGCATATTAGAAAAGAAAAAAAGAATTTGTTGTAAAAACAAAACTATGCGGTATGGCTTAATTATACAGATGTTTCCTTTTGAACAGGGAATTCTGTGTGTTGTGAAAAAAAAAAATGTTTTGGTTGTTTTGTGTTGTCAACAGTTCGCTGACGTCCCTCATTGATTTTCCGGTTGAAGAGTCTTTAGGACCTCTTTTATAGCACTCGCGGTAAAATGTTAATAATTAAACACCTCTCGGCATGTTTTTGTATTCTTAGAAAAATTAATTACCATATAATTGAAATATTCCGCTTTTCAAAATAAAAGGACCCTTTTCATGTAACTACCGATGTTAAAATACACTGACGACAAGAGAAACTGTAATAAGGTTTCTATCCTTGGTTCCAATACTGCAGTCTTTTGGGAAATCTATCGCCGACATCAGACATCCCCTTTCACAAATTCAGTTCTGAATCCATGTTAGCGTTCGTGATAGGTTTCTGAGACTAATTGTAAAGTAAGCCGGCCTAGGGCTAAGTAGATATTTCTCATTGGGCGTGAGTTGAAATGGATTTCGAAGTTGAAAAGAGGTCTTAGTGTGACGGCAAGCGGGCATGTTAGCATACGTTAGAACGGCACACTCTTATTTGTTGTCTATCTATCTAATAGACAACGCAATTATCACGTAGCTTAGGATCGTATTCAATAAATTATGGCCTGACTCAACATACGGCATTACACTCTTAAAATTATCTCTAGGTGGGTATATTTTAGTGAAATAGTCTTGGAAAAATGAAGCTTTTAAAAATGTCTTTGNAAAAAAAAAATGTTTTGGTTGTTTTGTGTTGTCAACAGTTCGCTGACGTCCCTCATTGATTTTCCGGTTGAAGAGTCTTTAGGACCTCTTTTATAGCACTCGCGGTAAAATGTTAATAATTAAACACCTCTCGGCATGTTTTTGTATTCTTAGAAAAATTAATTACCATATAATTGAAATATTCCGCTTTTCAAAAATAAAAGGACCCTTTTCATGTAACTACCGATGTTAAAATACACTGACGACAAAAGAAACTGTATAGGGTTTCTATCCTTGGTACCAATACTGCAGTCTTTTGGGAAATCTATCGCCGACATCAGACATCCCCTTTCACAAATTCAGTTCTGAATCCATGTTAGCGTTCGTGATAGGTTTCTGAGATTAATTGTAAAGTAAGCCGGCCTAGGGCTAAGTAGATATTTCTCATTGGGCGTGAGTTGAAATGGATTTCGAAGTTGAAAAGAGGTCTTAGTGTGACGGCAAGCGGGCATGTTAGCATACGTTAGAACGGCACACTCTTATTTGTTGTCTATCTATCTAATAGACAACGCAATTATCACGTAGCTTAGGATCGTATTCAATAAATTATGGCCTGACTCAACATACGGCATTACACTCTTAAAATTATCTCTAGGTGGGTATATTTTAGTGAAATAGTCTTGGAAAAATGAAGCTTATAAAAATGTCTTTGATATTTAATCATAAAAATTGAATTTTTGAAAAATAATCCTTTCTTTAGTAGATCCTTGCTTTTCTGTTGATTAATTTTGCACGGTGCATGCTTTTGCATAGTTTATAAAGTAGTTAATTTATCACTTGGAAATCATAAGCGAAAAAATAATAATAGCTTGCATAAAATCAGGTCAGACGTTTTTGAGGAACGTGATGATGCTTTGAATATTCAGTCTGAATGTACCTGATGGAGACTGGTGAAAAAAGAAGCAAAGCCCATCGCTCCTCGCTTAATTTAAAAATACGCTTTTCTATGGGCATTTATAAACAAAGCCAAAACAGCTGAACTATTAGCATTTAGAACTGAGTGTGAAAGAAACACTTTTTTTCTTAATCAGGATGAGTTTTTTTCAATACTTGCAAAATTTCGCCATATCATTGATTAGAATAGATGTGTTGCAAGTTTAACGTTGTTATAAATCTTGCAATCAAGACTGTGTCAGAAATCAATTTTTGAAAACAGGGCTGACACTTCTTTAGTTGTCTAATTTTCACCTCTATTCAATGCAATTAAATCAACCAAAGTAGATAATCTTTGTTCCGCTTCGCAAGCTACGAGTTTTTGTGGACAAACTACGTCTTACAAAAAGAAATAAAAAAAGAAATAGTCTCTTTTAAAGTGAATTATTAGCTTAAAATAAGTCATGCATTTTTATTTTTAACTCACCTAATGCGTCCATGGACGAGTTCAATCGTAATTAAGTCACCTTGAGAACCTGCGCTATGAAGAAATAATCCGAAGGGATGAATCGTTTTAAAAGAAAACGTAATCCTGTCTTCTTCTGTCGTGATGCTGTCGGAACGAAGATCATAAGTAATATGGCTATTTCCTTTCATGCTAACTTCAACTGCCGAAGAAAAAGAAAAAGTTACTAAGAGCCACGAAACAAAAATCACGAACTTTACGAACCCCCGACTCGAAGTCATATCTCGAAATCGGTGACGCTGCGAACGTAAAAAAGTTCACGCGAAAAGTTTTAAGATATGTCACAACCACCTCCACTACTTATCGCGTCTAAAACGTTTCTGTAAGAAAAACATTGTTTGTTTTCAGTGATCCTTCTTTGGCTAATAAGCGGTAAAACAGCGCTAATAAGCGATAAAGGTCTTTCGAAACAAAAGTAGACAATAGGCGTTGTTTTGGATTGGATAACATCGATCAGTTGAGTTAACAGTGTACGGGAAATATCCAATAACGTACAAGCTTGCGGATAGCGCAAAACAACCACATAGAAGTATCAATTCTTTGGATAAAGATGCGGTAAAGTATACGTTACAATGATCTATACGCCATTAGAGTTTCTAGATCATGACATTCTAGATCGATTATAACCCGACCAGACATGTTTTCAACTTAACAAACTTCGGTGAAGTTGCAAGTTTAGCAGGGTATTTTCGTAATAGATGAAGCTCCGAAACAGTATGTCAAGTTATGCTTTGAAACTTGGAATTTTCACCTGCTGGGTGAATTATAAAATTTACCTAATTTCATTTATTAAAACAGAACCGACCGACGCTGCTTTTGATAATTTTATGGTTCGGTAACAAACAAATAAATCTTTAAAATGCGTCTCCAGTACTCAACTGTAGTTGGTTTCCTTTTGGAAGTCATGCAATTCCAGTCCTAGAAATTCCCCTCCGATCCAATACCTTAGAGAGGCAAATAATGATAAACTGTACTTAAGTTTCAAATTTAACTAAAGGCAAATTAGTTGACAAAAAGGAACCTAAACTAAATAATTATTTAAGCCTGTTAAGAAAATTCTGCATATGAATTCGTTTGCACTTGTAAATGGTTTATTGTTCGGCATTGTGCACTATCACGTTTTACTTCTATTCCTTGGAAATAAAGTTTTCATTCTAGAAACTAATGAACTTTAACTTTGTGTTACTGGTTCATGTTCTACTGAAGAAATAAAAAAGAATTATTCGTTTGAGTCTTGATGAAGTACAATTTAGCTTGTACGAGCATTTCAGCAATATTTGAATAGTAGTAGTAAGAAACTGGTTATTTAATTTGCTGCCTAGATCTACTATACAGGACGTTATGGGTATGTCAGCCCTTGCTATTCGCTGAGATCTGGATATATAGGACCAGTGGAGGGAGACAAAGTGAAGCTAAAGACAAAAGAAAAAATAATAAAAAGAGGCTAGCAATTCAACCATGTTGATCAAAAAAGCTTGATCATAAAAGTACCCATTATATGGCCAAAAATGAAGAGGACTTTTTCTGAAAACAAAAGATTTATATCTCGAATCTTACTTGTGTGCAAAAAAAAAAAATCAAATATGATGGAATCCACCTCTGGAGACCCAAGAGGACAAGATACAGAGGAGGCACTCATAAATTTCTCGGAGGAAGAGCTGGACTATGTTAATGCCGGAACGGTGGAAATACAGAGAGTTTACCTTCTTGGCAATGAAGCAAAGAGATACTGGCGAAGAACTGCGTCCAATACGAGCATGACTTCTTCCCTATAATGATTGAGAAGACATTCTTTCTTTGGGCATTGGCCTCAAAGACACCGAGTATCGGATGTTTAGAGATCTACCTACTGATATTGTTAGAAAGGCTAAGAAAAGACCCAAATGGTCGCTAAAAATGGACAAAAAACACAAGATCCCACCTTTCGTTAGCAATGCTCAACAGGACAAAATATGCAGAAAATTATATATCGCTGAGAGGAAAACTTTTACCCCTGGGCCCAGTTGTTTGAAGGCCGATTAGCGCTTAACCCGGGGTTAACTTTAAACCTGGTTTCTTTTTCTTGTGTTCAAAAGCATTTTCTCGCATAATTTTCTCTCTTATTTTCAGAGCTTCCAATCATCAACTTACGGATAAAAAGGATTAAAACTGAATTGCTTTTTAAGCTCTTAAATCTGAATTCAAATCTCGCACTAACCCTGAGTTATCTTAACCCAGCTTTGAACAAATCGGCCCTGAGATGTAAACCTCTAATTGTACCAACGAACTTTAAGATCTGTCTACTTTCTAACTTTTATATCCTTTTTGTTTCAACAAATGAGCAGGAAGGGGCAGTAAATGTTGGCGATAGCTTTTTTTCCGACAAGCTTTTAGAGCTTTACCCTTTATGCACAGTGGCGGATCCAGATCAGTCATCTAGACCCTGGGATAAGGGGGGTTGGGGGGCAGGCGGCCTTAAAAAAATTGTTTTTTGGCCCTTCAGGCCTCAGTTTGGTCTAAAAATAAGGGGGGGGGAGGGGCATTCCCTGGATAAGCCTCTGAGGCAGCGAACCGCTTGCACCGCTTGCTCGACTTTTTTTGGCAGTGTATTACTGTCTATGCCTCGCCTTAATCTTCCTCCGTTGGTTTTAACCAACTTTTTTTCTGTTTTTTTTTTTGTTTACGCATTTTTGTTTTAACTTCCATATTTCTGTGTTCTTTTTTAATGCTTCTTTACTATTCTCTGGTCAGTTTTTCTTTATGGCAATCTATTTTCGATTCGTCCTCTTTCACAATTATTAATTTTTGCATGTATTGTTGCAAAACTACAATCGGCGACAAAATCAGCTGAGACACTTCGCCCTAAAGGGCTGACTTGTTGTGCCGCTGTTCGAGCTACCTATAGAAAACAACAAACACCCCAACTTTGAATGGAGGGGACAAGGGAGGGGTGTGGATTCTTTTGTTCTCTGAAGTTACCCTGTTTGAGTACAGTGTCTCGACAGTTTTGTCGCCGATTGTAGGTGGCTGCAAAAAGTCCTGAAGGAATTGGTGTACACAAATTCCAACATACGTGGCATTAACAACATAAATAGCCTCTTTAAATTTCAGGAGGGTACGTTTCTGAAACTGCCTACTCGTAGGTCCAGCTTATTAGGAGCTTAAGAGACCTTGGAAATGGGTTACAGCTTTTTTCACCCGGCTGTTGTTCAACAACCCCATTTCAGACGTAGACTGTCGCAATTCAGAGTTAGTATTTTTCTAAATGCTGTCATTTTGTCAAGATAACCTTTTTGTACATCTCTGTCATATTTCCAGAGCAATAAACTAACATTTAGCCCTGCTTCCTGGGGAATTTCGAACCTGCCTTACACAGCCTAATTTAAAGACAAGAGGGAGTTGAGAGAATTAGAGAAATTTTCATTTGTCTTAAACCGGAGACAAAGTTCAGAGTTATAACTTTGCTCGGTGTTTGTGTTGTCCCTACAGATTGGTGTATTTAGCGACTTCATATCACACTATGAAGAAGCGTTTAATTTTTAGCTGTCGCCATAATTCCAACGATAACCGGTCAAACTTTCATCTTTTTTTCGTTATTTGTGTATGAGTATAATACGATGTTTGGTGATGTTGAGGAGCGGTTTAAAAGCTCTTTTAAGCTGGGGCCATCTTTCTTTTTAGAACGGGATTAGCCTTTTCTTTTGAGTCAAAAACATGAACTTTCTTCTTTATTGGTGCTGGAAGAAAGCAGAGCAATGACGTATGGCGATAATCTATTGTGGTAAGAAGGATGATGAAGGCTACTGAGACCATTGAAAATCATTTTATTTGTTCTTTGTTTGTGTAGGGTCAAAGAGGTTAAACCACGATAATGGCTAAAAACTTGGAAAATACCTCAGTCTTTCTCATTTTTCGTCAAAATAGGCCTACAAATGATGTATGGCGATATTCTTGATAAAAGCAAGCCTTTCTAGGGTATAAAGATATCGACTTTACAAAGTCGCCTTGTTAGATTTTTGCAATGGGGTTAACCCATGACTTTTTGGTCAAAAAATTGAAAATTTTCTCTCTTCGTATATTTTTCGTCAAAAAAGGCCAAACAATGATGTTTGTTGACATTTAATGAAGATATAAATCAAGACTTTTCGGGCTATAAAGATATCGTTTTTACAAATTTGCCATGTTGATAATATTCTTAATATAAAACAAGCCGATTCAGCATAAAACGAAATCGAGTTTACAAAGTTATCACATTGGATTTTTGCAAGGGCCTGGGGTTAACCCATGCCTTTGGTCAAAAAATTGGCAAATTCAACACTCTTCATTTTTTTTGTCAAAATCGGCCTAGAAATGATGTTTGGTGCTACTCTTGATACAAATTAAACCTTTACAGGGTATATAGATATCTATTTTTAAAAGTCCCTTCATTAGATTTTTGCAAAAAAATTGAGAAATTGGTCACTTCATTTTTGGCAGTGTACAGGCTTTCCAATAGCAGATTTTAAATGCATTTTGAAACGATGTAATCAGCGCTGTTTTAAAAATATATCGTCCATTTTGGCGGTGGATACTTATCTTCTAAACATATACCCATAAATGGTAATTCGCTAACCGTACTGGAAACGAAGTATCTTTTTGTAATCTCCATTTCATCCTTCCGGTCTTACCTCATGCGATAAGAAGAATATTTTATACAAACCTAACATACGTGCACAAAATGCAATCATTAACATTACAAAAATTTGCAAGTATTTTGAGTTAAAATTTGCTGTTTACGCGTCACTGCAAATTAAACTAACTAGCACAGGAAATAATTACATAGAGGATATTACACGGTGGCGCGAAGATATGAATTTTATTTTCGAGTGGCAAAACAATATTTTACGAACGAGTGCATTCGCCGTGTAATGTTCTTTTTATTATATAGACAAAAAGACATCGATAAAAGCCGGGTAATTTATAGATATAATTCACATTATTTTATTATCACTGAAATTTAACAAGGCGAAGTTGTGCGTGACAATTTATCCAATCGTTATACATGTCGCAGAGTCCCAGTCAATTTGATGTTTCGCCTTTAAATGGTGCTCAGCAATGTCATTGTTGACGTCACTATTCCTCGTCGCGCGTTTGTGTTCGGTCAGTCTGGGACTCTGCGACATGTATAACGTATTCTACAGACTACTATCAACGTCTTACTTTAGAAAGCTGGTTTTCTAACTTAGAACAAACGCCACTGAATCGTAGCCAACAGTTACCAGCGCCGTACAAACGACTTATTGACGAGATTAAGCAAAACTAACTTCGAGAGAACAACTGGAGAACTGACAATTTGACTAACAATAATAGACGACTGTTTAACTCTGACAATAGACAGATCGAAACGCACCAGTCACTGATTACGAGTCTTCATAGCCAATAACATCACGGCTTAGCTGACAGACGACCAATAACGTTGCGACATAATTGACAAATCAGGGCAATAACCAGAGTATGATACCATCAACTGACGTGATTCAACTCACTTTGACTCTGAAGATGACTACCGCACAGGTTGTCGAAACGTCAGTCACTGTCAACATGACAACAGTCCTATTCAGGACTACGTTCACCCGGTCGATCAAACTCAACCTTTTGAAATGACTCCTGGGTTCAAACCTTTCACAATCCTCATATAGTTAAAAACCCAGACAGATAGAGCTCCAATATTTTGAACTTCCTTTTTGCGTGTAAATTTAGGTCAAGATTTTATCAAGCAACGAAGAAAGATATATTGTTAAATAGATTTTCAACTAATTAAAAATAATTGTTCGCGTGTCAGAATATTCAAAATAAGGGTTAGCTATTGAGAATCGATCAACTATCAACTAAAGAGTAAGCAATTTCTTTCCTTCTAATTAAACTAGAAACTTATTAAACTTCTTTTAACATTCAAGATCAAATGTTGTAGCGTTGAGCTATACATGAAACCACCGCAAGCCAATGAGAACGAACTCTTTTGTTGAGATGTAGGTTGGGGACGTATTTATTCAATTTTAGCTCAAAATGGAAAACAAATCCTAACTGACATTTCTCTTGACAGACCAAACATCACGATTCGGTAAGAGAATCAAATAATCGAAAAAGTTGATTTGTCTTCCTTATCAATGTGGGTTTTAATTACTACTTTTGTCGTAATTTTATTACAAAAAGCTCTTTTTCGTCGGTATCGGTAGATCAACTTAGGGTGTTTTCAAGGGCAGGGCGAAATTGAACGCATTCGTTCTTTCGCTTGATAAACTATATACAACTTTCAAGTTCAAACTCTCAAATCTATCGAACTTTATCTACTGTATTTCAAATTTCCTTTAATTCTCAGCCGTGATTAGGCTTATTTTCCGCATTACACTGATTTTGCGGAAAGACATCCTTGAACCTGGTCGAGGAAGTGTCGGTCAAATATAACAGCTGGCGTTTTGAAAAAAAAAATTGAAATCAACTATTGCTTATTACCAAATAGCGTTTCCATTGGTTAGCATATAATTTGCAAACCCCCTCCTAACTAAATTCTCAACTCTCTCCGATGCTCTGACCAAAACAGTTCGGCTATTCTTGAGGGGACGCTCGCATTGTGCTTTCTACTTTCAGGCAAATCAGCATGACAAGTCGTGCCGCACTGAGCTCCAACAGCGGCCAGCTAAAGTTTGTTCCCTTCTAATTACCCTCTTTAAAATCTACAATTGTGCCATACCTCAAGCGCCATTCAGCAGGGGAAACCAGATCGACCTTAACACGAGACGATGAATCTAAGAAAAAATATAAAGTTATTATTGATTTTCCTCGCCGTTGCCTCGATGAGATTACACGCTTCTCAAGTGAAACTAAGAGGCCGTGTTAAATACTGAATGTTTGATTTTAGACCACTTTTGAGGTCTGTCTGACAACAATTTAACGCTAAGGTTTGGTAAGTAGGTTTGCCAGATAAAAACATAAGGTTTCCTCGATTTTGACTACTCATGGAAGGGCTTGACCTCTTTCAGGGACAAGTGCGGTAAGTGTGTTGTTAAGTTTTATACGTTCGCTGGGTGAGAAGATCTTGCTAACTTGTAAACAGTTGTAAAATTGAACCAACTACTGGGCGAAGCGTGAAGATATGGGAACAATTGAAAAGAAGCCTTTTGTTTTGATTTGGTATTTCATTGAACGCATCTTTTTGTTAACCGACATGTAACATAAGGTATGTTGGAAAGGAAACACTACGTCTTATTTTCCTTTCATTGGCAATTAACTGCAATTCAGTTGCAGTAGAAAATGTTATACTTCTTTTTTTAGTTTCTTAATTTTTATTTGGGTGTTTTTTCAGATCTGTATGGAAAGAATGTATAATACTGTACATAAAAACAAAGCGATAAATATCCATATCGGTTTTTAAATATATAATAAGATTACTTTGTTTTCAAAGCAAAAACGGATGAATTCCTAAGGAATGTTTTCGATAAATTATTAGATTTCAAGGAAATGAGCTGTGTTTATGGCTAACCGAGGAAATTTTATGAAAAAACGTTTTTAAAATTTACAAATATCTGTTCCTTACTAGGCGAATTTTTTTTATTCTGAATGAAATACTTGTTGACCTTGATTTCTCGTATTCTTTAACTATTTTAACATACAATGATAAACATTTTGTGTCAAAGAGGAAATTTGTTGTTAAAATTAGCGAGAAGTCTGTACAAATCAGAAACATTTCTTCGACAACTTATTTTTAAAGAAATCGTTTAATCAGACTCCGCATTATTGTTCCCTGCAGTTTTGGAGACTGAATAACCTTCTTTTGTCTGTCAAAATTAATATTCTAAACCATGCAAAAATCACACAAAATTAAACTTGGCAAGATTATGCACTCCATAAAAGAAAACGAAAAGAACTGTGTAGTTATCAAAAACACCTACTTAAACAACAAAACGTTAAAGGGAATCGGATTGATGCAATTATTTTCTGTATAACGACTTTGTTTAATTCCTTTGAATATGTATTCCTTATATTTGCGCATTGTTAATGTACCTCTCCGCTTAAGTAACAATGATAATCACTGATCCACCAAGTTCTTCTTTGCGAAATAAATCTTACTTATTTGCTCGCCATTGAAACAAATCGCATACATTTTATTGCGTTTCTAGACACTGCATGTTTTTATATTGATCCTTTTAGATATCATTTCCCCTCTTTTTTTTTCCTGCGGAAAATAGATACATGGCCTTAAATGGCTTTATCTGCAACAACGTAGGAGGGCCATACAAATCAATTTTCCCTTTTACTCATGTTTGAAACACCGCTTGAATCGATCAGATTTATCTACCTATTTTTTTATGCCTTAAATCAGTGCCGCAAAAACCTACATTTTTCATTCGGATTATCAAAAAGTTAGTTTAAGGTACTTCCAGTGTACTATATGCTATGCAAAACAAAGTACAAATTGAATTAGCTTACACGTAAGTGCTACCAAAGATATATCACTGATATCTTGCTCTTTACTGTGGCTTTTAAGTATCTTTAATGAAATTCTTGCTCAAAGCCTCACCACTCAAATCATCCAGACCACCAAAAGATTTAGGCAAAATTATTTTGGTTAACATTTTAATTTGCAAAGGCTGTTCCTGTGATTGTCATTCATATCTAATGTTATAGTACAGTACAAAGGCACTCCCCCTTTTCTAGTCTTTACATAAAAAATGGTTTGGGTAATGCCACAACGTCGACATTTTTTAAAAATTTTGTAAACTCAATCTAACTCGTGCGTTTATATTTGCATTAACGCGGGAAAGATTTTTATCCGTAGCAAGGAGTAACACTTTCGTCATTCTTAAAGCCGGAGGGCTATAATTAGAATAAGACTGAAGCGATGGCAACTATGGCTGTAATTGTAGCCATATATCTATAGTTCTTCCAAAAGTACAGCTACAGTAGCTTCTTCGAACAGTTGTTGACGAAGAGAAGCAACCGACAGCAATAGGTCACATTGATTAGAAAGAATATGCGTTGCACTTTTACTTTCCCAAATTCAGACGCAGGAATGGCTACTTTTTTTATTCAATAGAAAAAAACGGACTAGTGATGGATACAGGGACTTACAAATTCTGGGTGACATTCGTTGTATGAGAAAAGCTTTGAGAGCTCATGGTCTAGACGAAGATTAAAAATGTCTTTAAAAGATTAAAATATACACTTTTTATTCTCTAGTTATCAAGCATATATTGGAGGCATCCACAAACATGGAAAGGTGAAAATATTAGACGCAAATAAGGAGTTGAACGACGGCGAATGGCACAATGTCACCTTAGTACAACGTGGAAGAACTGCTATTCTTGAGGTGGATAAGTTGCCAAGTTCAAGAATCGTTCACACAGACTACCAAGATCTTCACCTCGACGGCAACATTTTCATTGGTGGAATGAGGTCTTCCGACTATAAGATCCACCGTCCTGAGAGCCGTAATTTTAGCGGGTGCATTGAAGACCTTACATTCCGTGGTGCAAACCTGATCAGAAAGGCTGAAACCAAACGTCCAGAGGTCAGTGTGTACGGGAATGTGGCATTTAAGTGCGAGGAACTCGATTATAGGGTAGTAACACTTCCGATTCCGAACACAGGCTTTCGAGTGACTGTACGTAAGTTACACGCAGACAACGACACATTTTCAACGAGTTTTTACTTTCGTACATACATCAAAGAAGGCCTTCTGTTGTCGCGAAGCGCGATTAAGGTGAAGTTAAATTTGCGATTGTCACATGGCACTTTGATTTATAATCTTATGGCTCCAGACGGCTCAAGGACAACATTAAAACTGGGTTCTGAACTTGACGATGGAGAATGGCATAAAGTCAACGCTAGTGTCAGAGGGCAAGAAGTTCGCTTGCAACTCGACGAGAAAATCCGGACAGAACCTTTGAACCAATCACGGCCTTTAATGCTGGACTTCGCAAATAAAGCTCGCCTGAAAATATTTCTTGGTGCCTTTGAAGAGAGAGATTTTCCCGGTTTCGTTGGGTGCGTTTACAACTTACAGATAGACAGTCATAGGATTAAAGTGAATAATCTCAAAAAACGCGGCAAACACACTAATATAAATTTGCGAAACACTTGCCGCTTACAGAATCGCTGCCAGCCGAATCCGTGTAAAAACCGAGGCATATGTACACAGACTTGGGACAGGTTTTACTGTAATTGTAAATACACCGTATTTGAAGGGGAACGATGCGATATTTCCATTTACGAGGCCACATGCGAATATTACAAAGCCATGGGGTTGGAGAAAAGTGCTTTGTGTTTGCTTGACTCAGTAGGTGGTGGAACGCCATATACAGCATATTGTAATTTAACCCGGGATGCCGCAAAAACGACAATACGTCACGATAAAATGACTAAAACGAGAGTAGGAGATGGGATTATGAAAGGATCTGCTTATCTTAATGAAATAACGTACTCCATTGGCATGGAACAAATTGAACAACTAATTAGGAAAAGCAGGCAATGTCGCCAACATGTTAGGTTTCATTGCTTCTTTTCTGAGCTTCTAAATTCGCCCAATGGGCCTCCTCACGCCTCGTGGCTGTCACGTGACTCGGGGAGACAAAACTATTGGGGCGGAGCTGAACCCGGAAGTGAAAAATGCGCATGCGGAATGGATGTCCCGCCAACTTGTAAGAGTCCCTCTTAATTTTGCAACTGTGACAACAAGGCCAAAAAATGGCAAGTGGATGAAGGATATTTGACAGATAAAAACACTCTTCCCGTTACGGCTATGAAATTTAACGCCAAAAGCGAGGAATCTGACTTCACAGTAGGTCCACTGGAATGTTGGGGAGGTTTAGATAAACATAAAATTTCGATGATACAACCCCAGCAGAGTGGAATGGCGACTGGTAATCCATTAGAGAAAGGTTGTCCGACTGATCCGAAACATACGGAACCGATCAACATCACGACTTCTCTTACCTCCAACAATAAAGTTTCTAAACCGAAAACTTGTCCAACAGATGACGGCAATTTCTATGACGCGTACACAACATCCCCAACCTCCACGCCAAATGTCACCATGGCAACTACCTATCCTAAAACGTTTGAAAAAGAAATACAAACCTCACCATGGCCAAAGGAATTCACTGTGGATAACGGAACCGGAGAATTGGTTATAGTTATCGCCGTCGTGATGATTTCCTGCGCCTTAGTAGTTATTGTTCTATTATCCATGAAATTAGGTCTCCATCGAGCATTGTTTAGAAAGTTTGATATAATTTTTTCTATGGCAAAGGTACAGGGTGTCTGACGGCTTATGATTAGTGAAATTTATAACGTTCACAGCTCAAACATGTTAAGCAATGGCCTGGGGTTAATTTGCATAAAATCTTACAATGCTCATAACTTTGCGAAAATTTATCAGAACATTCCAAAATTTGGCAACCTCGGACAAATCGGTAACATTAATTTTCCTGTAACGTAATAAATCAGATATCTTTGTCACGTGACTACTTATGGTCGAGTCCAGGAAAGAAAGGAAAACTAAAAATGGGGTGGCGAGATGCCACACAGTATGTATTAAACACAGTATTCATTATTTCTCTCTTGAATCTGGCCGGAATGGTTGACTCAGGTTTTTATTTAATTAGTTATTAAGCAGAATAGGTCACTTGACACCTTTCAACTGTTAATATCTTTTTAAGAAATTTAAAATTCTCTCCGTTCCGGCCACAGAAAAAATTCGTACGGTAAAACAAACATTTCCACATGGTTCAAACTTAGTGGTAATCAACCATTCTTACCCCATTTTAAATTTCTTTTTGAATATCATTATGACGTCACGTTACACGTGACTACATCACTTCAACCCTTATTAACTCAACGCCTCCAAAGAAAGTTTCTCGACAGATTTTTGCAACTTTTAGAATTAAAATGCATGGCCGTAGAAGAAAAAAGGGCTTTATCTTCGCGGGGGGTCGAGAGCAAAAATAGAGGCATGCCTTAACATGCTTGAGAGGAAAAGAAAGTTTCAGAATGAAGCTAGAATCTGACCATTGCCGTTTAGTCAGGCTTCTCGATCACATTATGCGATGAGGGTCTTAAATAATCTTTTTGGGGTTTACCCGACGTAAAAACGAGAGTTAAAGGAAACACTGGTCGTTTTGGTGCAATTTGAAGTTTTCTGATTGCCGTAATCTGGTCTATATTTGATTTTAAATTTCTTTAAATTGATATGAATAAAGTTAGGCATACTATCCAAGAACCCTTCGCATTCACACTGAATGAAAGAGACCCCTCATGGCATGAAGTAAATAACACTGAGGTGAATAATTGTTTTAGTATATACTAAAACAGTGAGATAATTGAGCACAAAAACGACGATTTTTAACTCAAATACTGTTGCCTGCAACGATTACAATTTTGGCGCGTAATGACCGGGCGGCCGCGGCCGTCGCTTTTTCTTGCCGGCAATTAAAACTTTTGAAGGCATTTGTTTAGCTATCGCGGGGAAATTTCTTCAAAAGGAGTTGTGAATTCTTTTTGTATTTAAAATCATTCTATAAAAAAAGATTATTAAATTTAGTTTCTCAACTCAACTAAATAAAGTAAGCAAGACTTAAGCTTCATTTGCATTTGTAAACAAAAAACTTTTTCACCGGTTTTTAATATCCATAAATTCGTGTCAAAAAGACGAGGTTTTACCTGTTAAAACTTCCAATCCGAACTTCGTCACCTTCTTCGTGTATTTCGGAAACAGCTTGCTTGATTAGTTGTGAAATTTCTTTGTTTGTTTACGGCAGCAAACCGGGAAGGTATTTTGCTTGCAACTTACACGAGTTTGGCGTCGCTTGCTCCAAGGAACTGGAGGTGAATCAGTGAATAGTGCAGGATATTCACTGATTGAGTAGCCAATCAGAGCGCGCGAAGAACACTATCCACTGTTTTAGTATATACTAAATGAGGATAGGCCTTCATTTTTTAACATTCGCTTTGTAACGTTTCTCGCACCTAATTTAGGATTCACAAACTAGCGAAAATGAAGCTGGTACTAGACGAGATGCACGATTGCTAGTTAAGTCCCTCACTGGAGGTGACTTGAGGAAGGAATTAATTTTGGGTCTCTACAATTAGGAAGGTGAACGCGAAAGCGTGCGCGCATTATTTTCGTTTCCCAGTTACCTACTTGTATCCGGTGCAATACACGGCGAATTTAAAAGATTTGAAGCTTGGAGACGAGAATGTCTTCCAGATTAGAAAAAAAAAAACAAAAACACAAAAACACAATTTATTGTATAAACAAAACTATGCTGTATGGCTTTATTATATAGATGTTTCCCTTTTGAACAGGGAATTCTTTGTGTTGTAAATTAAAAAATAAAATGTTTTGGTTGTTATGTGTTGTCAAAAATTCGCTGACGTCGCTCATTGATTTTCCGGTTGAAGAGTCTCTTAGGATCTCTTTTATAGCACTCCTTGTATAATGTTAACAATTAAGAGCGAATCCATGCAAAGATCGACCAGAATACCCGATTCGTGGCCAGGCTCAAAAAATCAAAATCGCTCTTCTTTTGCAGACTGGTAGACTTTAGTGAGTATGCAAACGCTATGTAGTTTTTTCTTCGAAAGATCTGTTCGTTTCCGAGAAAAACGAAGAAAACCGTTTCAAGCCCCACCGTCGATTTCGCAGGCCAAAAACAGGGTTGAAATTCATCATGATTCGCTGGACTCGCGTTCCAATACAACCACGCTAGGAAAAAAACTTATTGCTAACATTTTGAGTTTAACTCGTCGTTGATCAAAATGTATAATATTTTTAGCATTACAACAGTCTGAGCAATTATAAAAAAAAGCTAAAGCGTACGGCTACCTGATGTTTATCCACGAAAGGTCGTTGAAAACAGCGACGATTTTCATCATGTGCCTTTAATCAGAATTTTTTCAGATTGAACGGAAATACACTACAGGCATCAAACATTGATGTAAAAATTACCTTGGGGAAATCATTTTGAGCTTCTCAGAAGTTATTTGAAAATCGTTTTACAGACAACATAAAGTAACGCCATCTTTAACATATGCGTGACCATCGTCAGTCGACCAGGCAAAGGTCATGAAACGTCTGTCCGAAAAAGTCTTGGTAAAATTTACGCACAAAGTTCTAAATGTTAAAGTACTTACCCTATTCTTTGTTTCAGGTCTAGTTTTACGGCAAAATGTTTCCCGTTGCCATCTGTTCAAGTTTGCCATTCTATATTAAACTCTGTTGAGACTCATAGCGAGTAAACCAACACGCATGCTTTCCAACGAAGTTCACTTAGTAAAGACGTAGTAGACCCTCTCTTCCTTATCTGTCAACAACTTTTGTCTCAAAATGCTGCTGGACACCGCCGAAGGAAGCGCCAATCTGAAGGATAAAGCGCCCATGCAAACGTTATGTGACTCAGTATGGTCTGGATCCGCTAAAAGCAGGCGCAGAGCAAACGTAAAACATGCGTATAATAATACATAGATTTAGCCAGGGCTAAAAGCGAAGCTCCCGTTAATAAATTCATAATTTATATCAAACAATAAACTTGGGCACATTCATGTGACTTTTGAGGCAACGGCTGAGTGATTTTATAGAAAAATAATTTGACAGCCCGAGAGTGAAACAAATTTTACGTCGAGTTAATAGTCTTATTTGTACACCTAAAAACAGGGGTACCCAACGACAATTTTCGGAAAAATATCTGTTCGGAAGACGATTTGAGATCTAGAATTTTCGGAACATTTGTTGTAAAATTTCTTGCTTGCCTGCCTCTCCTAGGATTTTCGGACATCTAAAAAATGGTATAATTGCCTACTTTTAACGGATTTTTACCCTAAAAAGGTCACCTAGAATTTTCGGGAGCCTTTTTTCTGGCTAAAATTTTCGAAAAGATAAGTTTTGATCCCTATAATTTTCGGATCACTTGACTTTCAGCTAGGAAATCCGAACAGATGAAAAATTTTTTAGGGGATAAAAATATGCCTATATCTACCGTTTAAATACTAAAATACGTTTAACAATGCTATGTTTAAGTGGTTTTGAACTATATTCTCGTTGGGTGCCCCTGTAAAAATAGCAATCATGTTCGATCACAATAGTTAGGCCTGGAAAACAAATAGACCTATTCGTGTACTGTATCTGAATCATAATGCGGAAATTCCTGAAACAAAACGTTTTATTCCCAAGGGGTTTGAATTGGGTACAACATTGAGTTAACCGAATTGGTCCATTCCCAAACAAAATAACCCAGTCGCCCATCACCTTAATTTTATGAGTTTAATTCACAGTCTCTCCAACAACTCCGTTTGAGAGACTATGGATAATTGGACAGCCCCGAAATATAATTTTATGAAACACAAGATAGTCCTCGGTGGCAGCCAATTTACACCAGCTGTTACACGTTCCATTCCTCTCAAGAGAGGATAAAGGGGACACAGAAGGCATTCCCCATACACACCCTATTCCATAGGTAATTCGTCTCGAGTTATTTTTAGAATCGGGATAAAGTTACCTCGCGCGCTGCGTGGATTTTTCGTGGAGGTTTCGCATGACTAAACGCCCTGCAAAACATGTCGTAACCTCAGTTCTGAGAAATTTCGCCGGTCTATTGAAACCGGTCGTTTGTATAATAAAGCAAGTAGGACGCCAAGTGTTATTTTTTTTTCAATAATAAT